GTTCCAGCGTTCCCAGCGAGAACCACGACGCTGGCCTTCACTGGGAGCTGTGGGAAGGAACGTGTGAGAGAGGGCTCATTCTCACCCTAGCCAAAATATTCTATAAAATGTGCAGAGATCTGTTGGACACAGTGCTGGCTTTCTCTTGCTGTCTGTACTCAGTGCAAGACCTGACACTCGTATCTCCACCTCTCAAGGTCTGTTGCCTGCTCCAGGTATGCAGTTCATTCTTCCCTCTTGTTCTCTTATATATTTATTAGGTTAGACGTATTTGATTCAAAGATAGTTGAGCCCCAGCACCTCTAGTGTAGATAAAATGTCCTTACCATATGGAACAAGTTTTCAGTTCATATACCTTTTGGGGGAATTTTGCACTCCCACTACCAAAGCCCCGAAGAAAAATGCATCAATTCTTGGCTTTGGGTTCTGTGTAGTTCTTCCTTTTTATAAACCATTCAGTCTTCTAAAAAACTGACCCACTTGTTTCTGCGAAATTAAAAGAATGATTTCTTCCAGCCACATGGACACAGATAAAGATGAACAGGGATCACCAAACTTTAGCACTGGAAGAATTTACTTTCCTTGCTATGGCTCAATCCTGAAAAGCTGAATAACCTAGGGTCTTTACTATATAACACTAGGGTCTTTACTGTATATTATAAGTATATGATTTAATTGAATAATGAAGTTATAGTAGCATATCAGAACTGTGTGTTTTGTTTGAACACGGTGATTTTCCACGTTTATTCAACTTTGCTGTGTTTCTTGTGTGTTTGTTGTGAACCCCCAGGTGGGTCCTGGAGATCCCCTGGAATTACAACTGATCTCCAGATTACAGAGATCAGTTCCCCTGTAGAAAAATGGCTGCTTTGGAGGGTAGAATCTGGTGTCGTCCACACGGGGACAGGACTTTGTGGTTTCTCGGTTGCTGGTGTAGTTGCAGATTAAGTGCAGCAGCAGCAGCAGCAGCCGCTGCCGTGGGGCTTCCACATGGCAGATTTCCCCACAGTTTCCCTGCCCAAATGCCCCAGAAGTAGCCACCCCTGTCCCCTGGACTACCAGGGCTTTGAGTTTTTAAAAAATAAATCAGCACTAGAATACTGTTATACTGATATACCATTGCAACAATAGGAGCACCAGGTTCTCTGAATTTCCAGTCATTAACCCCTTCCCTTGAAAAAATATGCCTTTTCCCTTCTGTCTGCAAGAGAAGGGTATAGAGACTGACATTTTTTAAAATGACAGCTGGGAATTCAGAGAACCTGTTGTACCTACTATTACAATGGTATATCAATACAATAATATTCTAGTGCCACTTGGTTTTTTTTAGAAAAATCCCCCACCAGAGGAAACGTCTGCTGCAGGGACAGGGTTAGGGGAAGTGGCTGTCATGTGAGCTGGAAATGTCAGATTTTAACCCATTCACACAGCAGCCATCCAGCCTTTGCTGTGATCTTTCTGAAAACTTTGGAGCAATGCAGGTTTGAGAAAGATCAGAGAAAAGACAGGGGAATCCCTAGGTAGGCACAAATGCACATCTATGCAAGAGAGAAGCTGGGAAGAACCCCACTTCTCCAAAACATTGAACTTGGGGCAGACCCTTCCGTAGAATCCAATCCTTGTCGAGCTTCCTCCTTTCTCAAAACTCCTCCCTTTGCAAGCTCCACCCCCAGATCTCCAGAAGTTCTCAAGCCGGAACAGGAGACAACCACTGTGTTCGCCTTTGCTAGCATTCCCACTCTAGGCTGGGAAATTCCTGGGTATTTTGGGGGGAGGGAAGGCCATGGTTTGAGGAGGGGAGGAGCCTCAGTGGGGTATAATGCCGTACGGTCTGCTCTCCAAAGCAGCCATTTTCCCCAGGGAAACTGCTTGCTACAGTCTGGAGATCAATTGTAACTCTGGGAGATTTCCAGGCCCCATCTGGGGGTTTGGAAAGAAGTAAACAACCATGATGTATTATGCCAAAAAAAAGTCTCTAAAGACCAGAAATTTCTTTTTCCAATATTTCAGTTTACTGGAAGAAATTCAAACGCCATCAACACAACAGATCATGCATATGATCTCATTTCGTGTATAACTTTTTCAAGGGGAGTAGCGTTGAAATACCTATATTTAATTACAAAAATATAATTCTATTATTAGTATTAGCAAGAGACTAGCACAAGGCTGTACAAACAACAGACTGATATATAACATACTTACAACATTAATCCATTTGACAAACTCTCTGGTAGTATCTCGTGGTGACACTCATCAAAACCATGAGTGCAATGTAAATTCACTCCTCCTATTTACTTATACATATCTAAAACCCTTAATTGCTGCCAGCCGGCTGCTTGCCAGACCTGCATCTTAAAGGGTCAATTCCCATTTACAAAGGCAAAATCCCCTGAGGAGTCGAAAAACCAAATGAGGTTTTACACACTTTTTAGATATGTATAAGTAAATAGGAGGAGTGAATTTACATTACACTCATGGTTTTGATGAGTGTCACCACGAGATACTACTAGAGAGTTTGTCAAATGGATTAATATTGTAAGTATGTTATATATCAATCTGTTGTTTGTACAGCCTTGTGCTACTCTCTTGCTAATACTAATAATAGAATTATATTTTTGCAATTAAATATAGGTATTTCAACGCTACTCCCCTTGAAAAAGTTATACACGAAATTAGATCATATGCATGATCTGTTGTGTTGATGGCGTTTGAATTTCTTCCAGTAAACTGAAATATTGGAAAAAGACATTTCTGGTCTTTGGAGACTTTTTTTGGCCTAATACATCACGGTTGTTTACTTCTTTCCAAGCTTCCATCCCGTGATCTCTCTCTTTGTTTTGCCCCACCTGGGGGTTGCCAACCCTTGCCTTTGCGGAGATGGCGAGTGCAAATAGGCGGCTAATAGGCAGCAAGGATTCCAGCAGTACAGCCAGGGCTAGAAGAAAACAGGCCGAGTGTGTGGAACAGTCTTGCTACCTACATTCCACAGAGGGAGGAGGCAGCCTGAATTGTCATATCACTTAATTTGAATTTGAGATGAAGATTAGTTTTAAGAAACCCAAATCCAGTAGAGGAGATGATATAGTTGTCCTGGATTGTATTTTTCTCATTTCTCAACTTTGGCGAGGGGGACTCCGGCCTTCAGCACATAATAGCACATCACGGTAGAACTGCTCGTGCTCTATGAACCTGCCTGCCCATTTGGGACTGCTCTGAGATGCATACTGTGTGGTGAGCAGTCTCTTTGCAGGACAGAGTAGCTTCTCCCCCATTGTAGGTCATGGCAATCATTTTGCAAAAGGCACAGGCTTTTTCTGCCCCAAATATATAGAGGGATTGGTCTAACAGTTAAAGCTGGTGAGCAGAAACTTCTTGCAATGCACCTATTGATGGACTGTGCCATTTCGGACAACAGGGAGTTAAAATGTTGGAATGCCTGCACGAAATACTTCTGGTATATATAAAACCAGCATGTAAAGTCCTGTCAAGTCACAATCAACTTATGGTGACCCCAGCAAGGGGCTTTCAAGGAAAGTGAGAAGCAGAGGTGGTTTACCATTGCCTTCCTCTGCAGAGTCTTTCTTGGTGGTCTTCCATCCAAGTACCGACACTGCTTAGCTCCCGATAACTGATGAGATTGGGCTATAGCCATGCCACCATCCCTCTCCAAGGCACTTCTAGGCTAGCTTTTCCCCTTTCATATTCATCTAGTGTGGTTCAGGAGTATTTTAGGCCAGGAGGTATTTAAACATTTTAATCCCATATGTTGTCTAAAATGGTAGAGTCCAGCAACAAGGCACATCACATGGGGCTCCTGCTCACCTGTTTTAGTTCCAAAAGGGCTGAGGTTATGAGTCCCCACCACCACCATCTTCTTTACGCATCTGTACGGCAGTATATTCAGTTTGCTCCCTGTCCCAGTGCTCACCGTTGCCTATGGATGAGTCAGACTGGAAGGACTCTGTGGAAGGGACGTTGGCAGATTGGGCGGCCAGCTGGTTCTGTGGGATGCCCACCTGACGCAGGTTCTCACCCTCAGAATTGGCCCGACGCAGCTGAGAGATCAACGGGATTCTCTTCTCAGGCTGTCTGACACGGTCACCAACCGTGGCCGTGTGGGCTTCATCAGCATGCTGCTGTGAATGGCTGCGTAGGTGTGTAGAGAGGCGCTCCATGGTGGTGCCAATCTTCCTGCGTACAGCCATGACAGGGGACTCACTGGATCCTGGCTCTGACTGCAGGCTGTCTGAGTCCTTTTTCTCCTTGGACACCAGGCCCCTGGGAAGCCGCTGGCCCTGGACGGTGGTTCCTCCTGCCTCCTCCACCTTGACCTTCCTTCTCTCAGCGGGGGGAGTGCGTCGGAGTCGCATTGACATCCTGCGAATGAAGCCAGTTTCTTTCTCCACCTCATGCAGGTCTTGCACTGAATGAGAGCGCTCACCGAGGCACCGAGAGGCCGCGGACTTGGACAGCTCTACCGGAGCACCCACTGGGCCTGGCCGGTACATGCCTTCTTCCCGCACCAGGGGCCAAGCCAGCTGCCGCTCCTCTGACCTGGAAAGTAGCTTACGGCCCCTGCTGAGGGAGCCTTCCCAACTTCTCTTGAACTTGGTCTCAAACACCTCTTCAGAATCAATGTCCGGGATGTGTTCCGTACTAGAGGAGCGAGCTGGGACAGATGGCTCTTGGCCAGATGCCTGAGCGGCCACCTTGGCATAGACAGCCGTGTGGGACTGCATACCTGCTGAGGGATCTTGGGGTACACTTTCTGAGGCAGCAACGGAAGAGTCTGCTGCCTCATGAGCTGGAAGCATGATGGACTGCATCACCTCAGCATAGGCAGAACGCTTGGGTGCTGAGCTGCCAGGAGAGGGCGAAATTGGTGTGAGTGGTATTGATTCCCTTGGGGGAACTATGGCTTTCACAGGTGCTGGGGTATCAGGTTTGGCCAATCTGGCCAGTAGCTTGTCCTCAGAGCCTCTGGCTGTTGGTCTCCGCAAACTAGGCCTATTACTAGGCTTTGTTGACTCTTCAGTCTCAGGGGTGGGTGGCTTGGAGGGAATCTCATGTGGTGTATGTGGCCTGGACTCATTCAGAGCCGAGAGTGATGGTGTCTCTTTCAATCTCTGGGCCTCAGTGTGTGCCAGGGGGATTTCTAGTGGTGCTCCAGAGCGGCGGTGCAGGATAACAGGCTCCCCATCCCCTTGGCTGAAGGAGCTGCTCTTCTGGAGGAGGCGCCCCTCAGGGGGAAGCTGCTGAGGAGCTGCCTCACTAGATGCCGCGCGCACCATCTTATGTCCAGGGGACAGCTGTTTCTCCAACCTGGGGGGCCTTGGCACCTTCTTCTCAAGACCGAGTGTCTCTAGTAGGGGTCCTCGCAAGCCACTTAATTTGCCATCCACAGGGCTGCCACGTAGTAAGCGCTGGCGCATGAGCTCCAAACGCTGAGTGTATTCTTCCTCAGGCAAACCACCCTTCCTGTGGTACAATGTCCCAGGGCTGGGGCTCCGGGAGGGCAACTCCATGGAGGCTGCCTTGGTCAGTCTTTTGCGGGAATGAGACTGATACTCGGCTTCATCTGAGGGAAGGCTAAGCAACAGGGCGCTATCTGCAGAACTGCCACGACGCAGCTCTCCCTTGCGGGAAGTCTTCTCTGATGATTCTGGGGAATCCAGACTAGAACCTTTCTTCAGGGCCTTCCTGGGGTACTCGGGCCTCTTCCTGGAGTCATGAGCCTCCTCATCAGAACCGCTAGGCTCCTCAGCTTCTGTGGAGCGCTTCCGTGGCAACTTACCCTTTTGCCTTCTGACAGAGGATTCCACCTCTTCCTTCCTCTTGGTGTGCACTGCCGCTCCCTGTCCCTCATCCTGCCACTCCATAGATGTACCTTCTTCGTCCACTGGAGTACCATTTGGGCCCAGAGGCTCATCATCTGTGGGGATCTCCGTGAGGGACATGCGAGAACCAGAAAATTCAGGCTGAAGGGGCATGGGGATATAGGGCAACTCTTCTGGGTCATCAGAGTCGGAGGACGAAGACAGCACTGAACTCTCCTTGAGGAGGCGTGGCACAGCGATGGACAAGTGGCTGGATGTATCCTCCAGAAGCTCAGGGATGGGTCGTGGCACCATGTTGCACTTGTAACTGATCTGGGAGCGCTGGGAAGAGAAAGCATATTTGAGGGAGGGGAGAAACAGGCTGGAGGGCAAGCCCCAGTCACACCCCCACCTTCTACTACAAGGCTTTGCCCTCTCAACATGTGCCAATGTACCCAAGGATACTGTCCTCCCCCTGTGCTGGGGGCTAGAAACTACAAAGAAAGCATAATACGGGAAGAACTTGTTTCAAGAGACTGTGTGTGTTGGGGGGGGGGATTTAAAAATGTACAAAGTATCCTAAGAGTTATATGGAAAACTACACTTTATGAACAGTGGAGCATATTTATGATAGATCAAGACAATGTGCTGAGATCAAGCACCCTGGTTGATTACACAAACCCATTTTATTTTACTTTATTTATTTTGACCTCCCCTTTTTCCCCAGTGGAGGTCCAAAGCAGCTTATATTGTTTGCCTCTCCTCCATTTAATCTTCACAACAACCTTGTGAGGTAGGTTAGGCTGAGAGTGTGTGACTGGCCCAAGGTCACCCAGCGGGCTTCCATGGCAGGATGGGGATTCAAACCTACCTGGGCAGATCCTAGTCTGACTCCCTAAGCACTGACACCACAGCCGATTCTGAGATTATAGAAGCTGGCAGGATTCCCCTGATTACAAGACCATTGCATTCAAATGGGTTAGAGGGTCAAACTCCCCACCCAGTAGATGCCATGGGACACACACACACAAAGTTTTGATGGGGCAGATGGCCAGCAGTAAGACCAGGGGTTATTTTCTAAAACCACTCATCATCAAACCTCATTGAGCTCCCTTGCACGTTTTAGCCCCCTTAACAAGCACCCAGCTGCCCCCCCCCTTACCAGCTCATCCCATCGTAGGCTACAGCTCCCAATTTCTCACCATCTAGGCCTCCTTTTTGTGCGGTACTGCTTGCCCTCCAAGATGCTTATTGTAGCAACATAGCCCCCCCCCTCCACCAAAACATCTTTGTCACCCCCAAGTCTCCTTTTCCAATGAGCAGTGGAATATCTTGCCTATTTTATGCCCTTACTCACTGCAAATGCTGGCCGATGGCACATTCCACATTTCTAGGCACCTACACCATTAATTTAAATGGAATGGGAGGGAAAGATGGGTGCTCGGGAAGCAGTAGCAAACCTTTGCCCTATTAGGAAAGGCATTGCTTCCTAGTCCTAACGATGGTTCAGTAATGAGTGTGTTCCAAAGCAGCAAAAGTGTTACAAATGTGTTTGCGACATGTTATGGGGGGCACATGCCCATGCACTGGGACTCACCAAGGCTCCCCCGGCTTGTTCTGTAGGCAGCCTGATCTTATCCTTCCCCTCCCCTCCCCATTCTTGCTCATTTAGAAGTGTGCAAGTTCTAACCCACCAACCTATTAACTGCCACCACTTCAACGGCTGCCTCCCAAGTGATCTTCCACCTCCAGCACCAACTTTACCTGCCACCTTCTACGAGATATGAAGAGCCTGAGATGATCAGTGCTGATGCTCTTGCCCTTTGCCAGTGTCTGAAAGGAAGGGAAATGGAAGCAGGCTCAGGCATTCAGAAAGAGCAGCCTTTGTTCTATGTAAACGAGGCAAGGGGCTGAACTGGAAGGAACCCCCCTTCTAATTCCTCAAATTTCCTCCTGCCCAAACACCCCCCCCCCAAACAACAACAACAACCCAGCACAAGTGTCACTGGTTGGACTCACCTTGAACCAGGGATGTTCTAGGGTCTGCTCTGCATTGGGCCTCCTGTTTAAAATGACAGGAAGGAATCAGGGTGTGGAAGTGGCATTCACTGGACTAGACTAAGGGAAGGCTAAGGGACTAGACTAAAGGAAGAAGAGCTTGGCCTGATTCCTCCTTTTCTCCCAATGCACCTTGCTCTCCAGAGTCTAATCATAAGACCAAATAAGGAATCGTCTGGCTTTTTAGGATAGCTGACGTCCTCACTGCTTGGACAGAGTGGTATTAATACTGACATATGATTTCCTAAAGGGAAGTGATTATATCACCTAGGAACTTGCTAGCACAAGCAAGGAAGTCATGATGACTGTATATGATTGTCGGGGGAAGATTGCCCACAAGGCGTTGGGGGAATCTCTTTCCATCTGAGGAGATGGAGGACTGGGTGGGACTCTACTTGCGACCCATTGAGAGATGTTTTTTTTTCTTCCTTCCCCACTAGAAGCCTGGGTTCCACTTTCTGCCTCAGTGAAGGCAAGGCCTTGCTCTGCATAGTCTGTGAGAAGGAGTATGGGAATCTTCCTGGTCTCACAACAGATGCCGGCCTCTCATCCCACCCCATGAGGAACCTCATAGGACCCAGTTACTCACAGGTGATCATTGACCAGCACTTTGATAACAAAGCCTTTTGCCTCTCGTGTCAGTCCTGTGAACATGCTCTCCTCAAAAGCTACATTGTAGTTGCGAATGTTCATGAGCGTGGTCTTGTCGTTCTCACCCACAAATGGGGAGATCCCTGTAAGGCTATCAAGGGAAACAGAAAATTCTCAGCAGAATAGCCAGTAGGTAAGTCTGGGACACATTCTCTGAAGCTTCTGTGCCCAGCGTGCATGGATGCAGGCGTGGGAATTCTGGAAAGGCAGCTTTTCAAAACCCCAGTTTCCCACCCCCATATCAGAGGAGTTAGGCTCTGTGGACAGCACTCTGCCAGGTGCATAAGGGTAGAACAAAGAAGATTGCAGTCTTGCTCTTTGTGGAACCGGTTAAATGTGATTTAGCGTGTATGGGAAAGGCCTGGACAAGCCTAGTGAAATTTGAGGCTTACCATAGGTACGTGATGACTCCCACTGGCCTGTAACAAAGAGAAGAGACAGAATTTCGGTGTTTGCACAGGACATCCTAGGAGCCAAGTTACATGGATTTGTTGGAACCTATGCTTGGCATTCCTACGAGAAGACGCCTCAGGCTAGAAGACTGTGTAAACCCACACGCTTCTTTTGGCGTCATTCCACAATGTCAGGCCGTTCTAATGCCTGCACGGTTTGGATTTGCCTAGCATGCCCTCATGTCCCAAGTTGGCCTTACACAAAAATGAGACATGTGCTCGCCTCTAGCAAATGGCAGTTCCCGATCTGCCAGATCCCAGGTGAAGTAAGCGGCACAATCTGTGCCTCTAAGACACCTCTGCTTTTTTGACATGCATGCGCATGCGCACACACACACAGCCTCTGCGTGTAATGTTCTTCATGCAAGCCAACAGTCAAGAGCCCGATATCAACGAAGAAAGGTTAAAACACTTGGGGCTCTCTAGCTTAGAGAAACAACGGCTGAGGGGTGACATGATCGAGGTTTATAAGATCATGCACGGGATAGAGCAGGCAGAGAAAGAAGTCCTTTTCTCCCTTTCTCACCATGCAAGAACTCGTGGGCACTCCATGAAATTGCTGAGCCCATTAGAATGGATAAAAGGAAGTACTTCTTTACCCAAAGAGTGATTTACACATGGAATTCACTGCCACAGGAGGTGGTGGCACCTACAAGCATGGATGGCTTCAAAAGGGAATTAGATAAGCATATGGAGCAGAGGTCCATCAGTGGCTATTAGCCACAAGGTATAGATAGGGGCTCTGGGGCAAGTGATGCTCTGTCTTCTTGGTGCTTGGGGGGGCCAACAGTGAGAGGGATTCTAACGTCCTGGCCCCACTGGTGGACCTCCTGATGGCACCTGGTATTTCTGGCCACTGTGTGACACAGAGTGTTGGACGGGATGGGCCATTGGCTTCTCTTATGTTCTTATGTTCTTAAATGCCCTGTCTTTCTTCTCTTAGCAGTCCCAGAACACTTTCTCACATACAAGCTAAGCACATCCATAATCAAAACATGCTCAGTACTCAAACTCAGGTTCCCCCCTTTTTAGTGTGCTCCTTTCTGGTATCTTCGTTCAGAGACACTTAAGGTACATGCACAGAGACATATTACATCATGCAGTGTCCTCTGTTTACCAAACATCGGTGACAGTGGAGACAGGGCTCTGGCTGATGATCTCGGGGCTTACAAATTCAGGGGTGCCATACTTGCAGTAGCGTGGCTCGTCTGGAGTCAGCTCCTGGGCATTGCCAAAGTCGCAGATCCTCACCTGATCACTGCCTGGTTCAGCCAGCAGCAGGTTTTCAGGCTGGGGAGAAGAACAGGGTGCAGAAGCAGTAAGGAAGGTGCCCCAGTAAAACAGCTGTTAGCTTAGCAAAAGTCACCCACAACAGTGAAATGTCTGGACCTGAAGCAGGCTCTTACCAGTGATACCGTCAATGTCCAGACATAACATTAATCCACAGGGGCAGCCATGTTAGTCTATGGTAGCCGCGAAAGCAGGAGTTTACTTGCCGGGACTAAGCCGACTGCAGCTTAATCCAGCTAAGACGGAGGTCCTGTACCTGGATTGTAGGGGGCTGGGACAGGGAATCAGGCTCCAAGCCGAGCCTTTGATGGGGCCCTGTTGGTCCTGGCATTGAGGGTGAAGAGCCTGGGGGTGCTACTGGAGGCCCAGGTCAGGCATTTGGCCCCATATCTTACTCCCCAGGACCCAGTGACAGTGATCCATGTAATGGTCACTTCCAGACTGGATTATTGTAACTCTCTCTACGTGGGGCTGCCCTTGACTCTGCTCCGGAAGATGCACCTAGTCCAGAACGTGGCAGCGCAGGTGTTGATGGCGATGCCTGTGTGGGCTCTAGCTCTCTAAACACATTGGTTATATTCAATTCAGAACAGAAACCTTTATTGGCATAACACATTGGTTATAAACAAACATGTGATTTAGTAAACAGTATTAACCCAGTAAATACTGAAATAGAAGTGTTTTAACTTGTAACATCCAACACAGAGTGACCGCGTCTGCTAAGGGCTTGGAAAAGCAGGGGGTCTCACACCTCTGGGGGAGTTTTCACTTCAGTGGGTCCCCTGGAGCCCTGGAACCACTTACAGAAACAGCTGCTGCCAGCGTTCCCTCTAAGCTGAGTTAGTGTGAGCTAGCTCACAGCTTTATAGCCTCCAGCTCACACATTTTTGTCTTAGCACAGGAAGGGATGGCCCCAGAGTAAACTAGTTTATGCAGCAGCCAAATCGCTCGCTGACAACTTTCATGCCAGTAGCTCACAAAGTACAGTTTTTGCTCACAAGACTTCACAGCTTAGAGGGAACATTGCCCCCCACCCCCACTTGGCAGCCCTAGATGGAGCTCTTCTGCTGGGCTTTTGGTTGAGGCAGCGGGAGCCCCCACTTTGTGGCTGACCCCACCAGCGGCCTGGACCCTAACATCTTAACTCTCCCACCACTGTTGATATGGTTCTATCAGAGCTGGCATGGTACTTAGGAGTATGGCACTTTATACTGTTGTTTTAATTTGGTTTTACACTGTTGTTACCTGCCCTGAGCCTGCCCATGTGGAGGGCGGGATATACATCCAAATAAATAAATACATTTAATCTGGTTCAGTGAGCTTTTTGCTGGAATACATGTTGTTAGTCTTCAAGGCACTGCTGGACTTCGGCTCGGTCATGGAAAGTTCCATCAAGTGGCAGCCATCTTGTGGCAGCCCCTCTTGGGGTTTCCAAGGCAAGAGACCAGCAGAGGTGGTCTGCCACATTGCCTGCCTCCCTGTAGCGACCCTGGGCTCCCTTGGTGGCCTCCCATCCCAGTGACAGCCAGGGCTGACCCTCCTTCGCTTCCGAGACCGGACGGGACTGGGCTGGCCTGCTGATCCTTTTCACCAGAGCACTGCCTACAGTTAACCTTGTATTTTACAGCCCATTCAAATACATAATTTGGTATTTGGTAAAACTTGTTGTTGTTGTTCAGTCGCACAGTCGAGTCCGACTCTTCGCGACCCCATGGACAATCTCCCGCCAGGCTCTCCTGTCTTCCGCCGTCCTCCGAAGTTGGCTCAATTTCATGTTCGTTGCATCGCTGACACTGTCTAACCATCTCATCCTTTGCCGTCCCCGTCTTCTTTGACCTTCAATCTTTCCCAGCAAAACTACACACCAGCATTTATCTAGTGGTTGCAAGAGAAAGGAATCCACTTCTTCCTCAGGCAAATTGCCCTTCTGGTTAATCCTCGTGCTTCTTTACACTGATGAATGTGTCCCCACCACTGTTTATGTCCTTCCTCTTCCTACTTGATACTAGAGCTATTTTGATGACCCATATCATCTCCTGGGAAGCCTCTGAGTTTTCTTGTCAGATCACCTTCCATCTGCTCTTCAATATGCTAAGCAGCCGGAGTTTCTGAATGAGGTAGAGGTTTTCCTGCCTCAGGGCAGGACTGGCTAAGCCTCTGTAGGGCCCCTTCTGAATCTAATTTGCACAATCACTGTCCTACTTTCTCTTGCCTCTGGCAGAATTCACATCCCTTGGATTTATTCTTTCCTTCTACTACCCCCCAGAGTTGGAGCCAGGATCCTGCAGTGTGACTCTGGGGTCTGCCTGTACATGGAGATGCTCCGTGAACCTAATAAAAATACCGCTATTAAGGGAACCATTCTCTATGCTTCCCTCAGGGCTCTTAGCTGTCCATTCCCAATATATCCTCCACTCATTCAGTTCTCAATGTGGTGAAAAACCCAGAACTCCTAGAATGTTTTGTCTTTATTAAGTAATGTGACTGAAATGATCTTCTGGAAGCCCCTTGTGCTTCGCCAGGACTCTGTACTTGTCCATTCCGCTTCATTTTCACTACTGAGGCATGATTGATATGTTGCTAAGTAGGAGCCATTTTGGTATTATCTGGTCACCCTGGGTAATGTCCACTGGGAGTAACTATGTGGAATGGAGAGCTGCCCCTGTCTATGTTTAGCCCCAGCACCATCATTCTGCAGGGCTGTGTAGTTCTGGTAAGAGAAATAACCACATAGCTAATCTCCTGCATTTGACTCTTCTCCTCAGACATAGCTGGGACAGTATGGGACAGTATGAGGAAAAAGTCAGGAGGAGATCAGCTCCAACCAAGACACAGATTGGTGGTTGCTTTCTTTACACATGTTAGATTTGCCTGGATCTGGCAGAAAGTGTCATATTCCTATAGTGCACTGCAGGGGTCGTTTCGTAGAAAAAGTGCTAGGGGAACTCATTAGCATAACTCATTAGCATATGCCACACCCCCTGACATCACCGGAAGTGTGTCAT